AAAAAATACAATCGAATTGAGAACCTCCTCCTTTTTTTGAAGTCGGTTAAAAACAAATTAGGGATTAAATCTCTACGAATATTATAAATGCGAAAGTAACTCTGTCTTTCTGTCATTTCTTCACGCCTAAACTATTCAACCGATTTCTGTGAAATTTGGTACAGACATATGTAGTTTGGAACTCGAGAAAAGACATAAAATAGTTTTTATACCAATATTCTGCAGGAAGTCACTATCCCACGCGAACAGAGTCGCGGTCAAATGCTAGTTATTACATACATATAATAAAATGTTTTCTTAACATTTTTGGCAGATGATCAATCAGCGACATTTTAAACGCAGCGTCCCGACGATGTTAAATAATGCGCAGTACGTGTCTGAATTTTCAATTATTTTTATTTATAGTCATTAAAACAATGGCGCTTTCAATTTGAGAATCTTAGTAAGAATTTGTTTAATTCGAACGTTTTATTTCCTTTATCATTTTAGTATTATATTCTTAAGTTTTATTATGTGGAAGACGTGTTTGATGTCATAAGGATTTATATATTTCTCAGTTTCCTCGGAGCTATATGTATGTATGCTCTTTGATCAACCTAACACCCGGTTTCTGAAAGGCTTGTCTACGCTTAAATTAACTAATCTCCTGTTAAATCTCTTGTCAAGTTATCTGATTGGTTGTTGATAATTCAGTCAACCAATCAGATGACTTGACAAGAGATTAAATTGATTCTAACATTGATCGGCCTTTCGGAAACCGGGGTTAATCTTTTAAATCCGCAATCAAACTCTAATATGCCTGCCAGAAGCTAAATTTTTGAGAATGTTTTCTTATTCTAGTTCTAGTTCTCTACAATACAAGTACGTACCATGTATTGTAGAGAACTCAACTCTAGTGGACCGTTAAGAACGAGGAGCATTAAAGGTTAAGACGGTTAAGAAGGTCAAGGAAACCATTTTTAGGAAATACTTTTTTTGTTGGTACAAATACAAGAATTTGAATTCTCTCGTTCTCTCTCTCTGTGGGTGGGGAGAAAGAGAGTGTCAGACTCTTACTGACTAAAAACCACCCTTTTCCTTCTCCTACTCCAAGCTGGGGCCGCGGGTAGGTAAGCAGTAAGTTTATTATTAGAAGCCTTTGTCTAAATCCATTTATTAACTTATCATTCTCATTCATCTGTTTACATAGTACCTTTTGCTAAAGCTTATAACAGGTATGCAGATAAATAACTTGTAGTGTCACGGACTCTGGGTGACCGACAAACGACTTAGCTTCAAGATTAGTCGATTAATAATTAATGGTATAAAAATACAACACAAAAACTTATTGATATGAAGAATAAATAATTCGGTTCTGTTTTCAAAAGCTCATTTCTATTATATTATAATTCTATAGCTCATTTCTATTAATAAATTAACGACTAATTAGTCAAGCAATTTTTCAAACCGATTTCGTTTTAGGGCTGATTTTTTTTTTCAATAATAATCAGATAAATGTTATCTGAGGAATAAAATTGTTGCTGTAATTATTCCCCAGGAAACTTTTATCTAACCATTGAAAAATTAGTTTTTAGTGAATGAGAGGAGAATCGGTATTTTTAAGGGTAAATTTGTCTTCTGTCTTACTATAAAAATACTAAAAACAAAATAAAAATTTAGGTGAGTACCCTTATAATGAAAGTGACTTTCATGTAATTAAAAGAAAAATAAAGACTCCTCAAGAGTGACCTAGCTCCACTGACGAACAGACTGACAGACTACTTTTCTATTTTGACGTTTCACAAGTACCTATTTATGGTTTAGTTGTAATAAATTATTTTGACTTTAAGTTGACTCTTTAAGAGTTTTTTATTTTAATCCAGCTTTGATAAGATTTCATTGAAGGCCGAAAAAGCAAAGTCAATCCAAATATTATGTTTTAAATAGAGCTTATGAAAAGTTAAAACTAAAAATGCGTCTACAAACACAACTGATACATTTTTGTGATAACACGGATACTAAGCAATGGTCAATATTGTCTCCTTCAGAAAAACCGTTGGATTTTTTATGACATTATTTTAGATCAAATCACACTGCAATGTCAGTGTGCAAATTATGCAGAATTAATTACGTGTAAGCAGGTGCAAACAAATGTAATGAGGCGTGCAAAAATACGCGGTCGTGAGCAAATATTTTTTTGGTTCACACTAATATTTAAATCACCCGGGGATTACCGAACGAACGAAAAAACACCCGGAGTTTTTCTATTAATGAGTACTAATACTGTTTTGTAGACTATTTATTTGTTTGCTCCGATTAAGCTATGAAATTTCTCAACCAATTTTGAAAATACTTTTTGCACAGAATAAGCTATGACACTTCTCAATTGAATTTAAAAAAACTTTCATTGCAAGAAAGTTTAATTATTTCGGACACATAAGGTAATTTAAGCAATTTTTTTATACTAAGCCGGCAAACAGACGGATTACCTGATGGTAAGCAATCAGCGCCCGTTTCCTGTGAGGTCGCGGTATATCACTAGGGTCGAGCCGGGCCCACTCCCGCCAAAGCTTGACTCTCCTACACTTATTCTTCGCAGTCGAAAAATTAATTGGTGAAGCAATTATATAAAATAGTAATACAAAATAAACTTAATTAAAATAAAAACATCGTGTAGGTATTTTATAAAAACTTATACTATAACAGATTGATATTTAAATAACAGATTTAAACGAAAATATTAAATTGATTAGATTTCATATTTATAATACCTAAATTTTAGATGCGATGACGTACTGGTGATTTTCTTTTTTTTATATTATACTTATATAAGACAATTTGGTTTGAATAGATTTATGTAATAGATACAGTATTAGGTATACTAGGTGTTTTGTTAAGAAATATAATAAATCATTTTGTAGGTTGTATTTAAAAGTATTTTGCTACTGAAATTAGCTTTAAATTGAATACCGTTTGACATTTTTTTAGATCATAGTATCAAGTCTGAAATTGTAAATAAAATTGAAAGCTATGATTTTATATGTATGTTATTTTAATTCCGATTTAATTGGTGTAGAGTTTCTTTTATGATTTTACTGTTAACATTTAAATTATATACAGATAAATAAGATTCAAAAACGTCGCCAAAAGTAGTAATAGTAGGTACTTACTTAAAGAAAAAAAAATCCAATTTTTCAACAAGTCATTGACCGTACTAAAAAATCTACATTTTTACAAATATTACAATTTTAAAAGCAACGGTACATACATACATATGACTTTCATGAGAAAATTAATGAGACACTGCAGTTTTTTTCATAATAAATTAGAAAATAATTTGAAGAACCGTTTGAATGCTGAAAGTTATATCATATATTACAGTTTATACATAACATATGTATGTATGTTACTGTTAAGTATATATAAAAAATATATTCGTATTCATAAAAATATATGAATTATCATTTAGTTCTGTACTTTTAAGTTCACGGGGTGAATAAAATTCGAGAGGTGAATAGACACAGAGGAGAGGTGAATAAAGGTTCTTGCGAATTTAGTTTATCAAGCGTTCATCATCATCAGCCTATAAGTGACCGCTGCTGAGCAAAGGTGTCTTCTCATATGGAGAAGGTTAGAGCATTAATCACCACGCTCGCTCAATGCGGGTTGGCAATTTCAAACTTATAATAAGAAATTATAAGTCCAGGTTTCCTCACGATGTTTACCTTCACCGTATGTCAGTGGTGTCTAAATAATCATAGAAAGTACATATAACTCGGAAAAAGTCACATTGGTACTTGCCAGGTTTCGAACCCACACCCTCATGCATGAGAAGTAGGCTCATTAACCTCCGGGCCACCACGACACATAAGCAAGCGTTGCTTCACGCCTATTTTCTGTTAAAACATTGTATCACTCCAGTCAATGTTCAGTTCAGTCATGGTTCAATCACATCAAATCCCAAGCGAGCAATTTGTTCGGGAATCAAACCCGCGACACGCTGCACGGCAGCTGGTTTCCCAGCCACTATATCTCTATCTATACTAATATTATAAGGAGGTAAAATTTGTTAGTTTGTATGTAGGGGTAATCGTTGGAACCGCTGGTCGGATTGCCAAATTTTTTTCACTGATAGAGAGCTACAATGTTCCTGAGTGGCTATAAAACATCACGCTACGATTAATTGGAGCCGAGCAGCAGGTAAAACCGCGAGAAAGTAGCTAGTAAAAGGTAACTAGGAAAATATTTTTAAGAACGAAAACTTTTCTTTCTAGAGGACTTGTAGAACTATCGAAGATAATAAACTGTCATTCAAAACGGGAAGCGACCTTATACAAGAACCCTCATTACAAAAAGTGTTAGTTAAAGAATTAGATATATCGTTAGCATGTTAATGTGATAATATGCAGTTCTCACAATTTTTTAAGGAAAATATCGAAATCATATACCAGCTCATCTAGGCTATAGAATAAGGCTTATATTTGCCTGCATCGTATAATGTATTGTGTAATGTTTTTCTTTTTTTGTTGTTTTGGCTTTACGAAATAAATGTTCTTTGAAGAGGTAAGCAGAATCGTAGTATAGTTATTTATAATCAATATTACTGTCACTTTCCTCATGCATTTGTTTACCAATTAACATTTTTTTTGCATTAGCTACGAACTTTTCTTCTACCGATATTCGAACCTAATAACTTTTAGTTCAGAAATCTAATTTGTTATTGAATAATATTGACTGACTAACATTTTTTTTATAATTGTTTCCTAAAGTTCTGTGTGTATAGCAAAACTTAATATAAAGTAAAAATATAACTTGTATGTCCTGATCACTACTTAAATTCTATTTCATTATTTAACCTAATCGTCAAACAGAAAAAAAATAACGTTAATAACAACCTAAATATCTACACTATGTGCATCTGTAATATTTGTTTTTATTTTCGATTTACACAATAAAAAAAATATTTACAAGAATAAATACTATACACATAAAAATAAAACAAATCAAATCAAAAAACCTACCGTTTAAAAAAACAATCACAAAGAAATCACTTCCAAAGTCGTAAAGTTTCGTTAAAAAAAATCACTGATCCACCAACCACGTTTATCGGGACGATTACAGTACGAGTTGCGCGCGCGCGTATATTCGACTGAGCGATCTATGGCACTCAACCTTACCTATATAGTGATCTAGCAAACTTTTGGACAAATCTAGTGACGCATTACTAGTAAATTATTAGTAAGAAATATTTAAATAATATTTGTTTTAAATGTTTAATTTTTTTCATGTCAGATTTTTTTTCGTATTGTTATTAGATAATTTTGTTTCTTTTTTATATGAAAAACTTTATGAATCGTAGCATAGATTTACTTTAGGATTTTCGTCTATATCCTGGGTGTATTTACAAAGATAACACACATTCACATCGCACTCAGACCCTAAACAACAAATTGTCGATCACAATGAAGACTTGTCTGTAATCGTGCGGGAATCAAACCCACGATACGTTGCGTGGCAGCCGGTTGCCCAACCAATGCACCGAGTAATCAATTTTTGTGCGTGAAAACTGTTTTTTTTTGCTAAAGTATGTAGTTGGACATGTTAAATAGATTTTCATGTGTTAATAGTTTTATGTAGGTACTCGAGTAATATATGTTCATAATCATTCTAATATTTTAATCTAGACTTCTGTGTATTTTACCTTATGCCTGATTTAAAAAAAATGTTTACCTATATGTTTTTATTATATGTTTAAAGAAAATTGAGTTAATTTATGACGTCAAATGTTTTGATTTCAAATTAATAACGTGTTTGTTAGTCTTGTTATATAATAATTATTAAATAACTATATAGACATAACATTTAAATATGGATGAATAAATTTATTATCATTTATCTTTTCTTTCATCACTACGCCAGCTTGATTAAAAGAAAGCTCACCGCATTACTACTCATGGCAATTGCAGCCTCCGAACTATATCTGTACAACTTTTTTATGGCATATGTCTGCAAATGAGCAGACGGATTACCTGATGGTAAGCAATCTGCTCGGCCCATGAACACTCGCAATGCCATAGAAGTTACTGCAAGTGCGTTGAAAGCCAATTGTATGTTATAAGACTGAAGACTGCACGGTTGCTGCGGTGGCTGGGCAACAGGCTGCCGTGCAACGTGTGGTTCCATGCGGGAACCGAACCCGCGGGTTCGGTTCCCGCATGGAACAACTCTTTGTGTGAGCCGCAAATTGTTGTTTCGGGTTTGGGTGTCCCACCAGCACCCACGACACAGGAGAAAATCCTAATGAGGGGCAACGTTTTTTTTTAAAAAAAAAGAAAAGGATAATTAGCCTACTTTTACAACAACGCATTGTGTTTCGTTCTTCCTCCATCCAGAAACCTTCTGTCTCCAAATATTAAATATTTAATCCACACAAGGCCGGCAAAGCTCTTATTACACTAGTATTGGAAATGTCTATCGGCGACGCTGATTGCTTACTATCAGTTAGTACAACCGTCCCCGACATTAGAATCCAGCTTAACAACTTTTTTATTCTTATTTTTATGTACTCATAACGATTTTTAGATACATATATAGCTACTATCAGTGGATTTTTTATGTTATTATTTGGTATTTTATCCACATAATTTGAATTCCACAACTATTTTTTATAAATTCGTCAATTAATTTAGGCGTTTCTGTACTATTTAAGTTCTTTGTTTTATTCTGTTTTATTTCATCTTACATAATTATGTTAATCAATAAAAAACTGTTTATTTCATCTGTTGCTACGCAGAATATTTTACCAATATTATAAAAGCGAAAAATTTCAAGTATAGGTTAAAGATTGTTTCTCTTTCACGTAAAAATATGATTTATATTGCTGTTATTTTTTTTTTACTTTCTTATAGTAAGAGTAACCATGATTGAAAAAGAGTATCCATGGAGTTACTTGCTCGTGCTTCTCCATAGGAATCTACACTTTGGAACGAGCAAATAGCTTCACTAGAGGACAGACAGACAGACTGACATGCTTAATTTTAAAGCTTTTGAAATACTTTTTTCCTTTTGCTTGACGTTCAAAAGTGCCTACTGTGGTCTAATTGAAATAAATGATTTTGACTTTGACTTTAGAATAGCATACAAGCATGGCGTAGTGTCGTAGCGTAGCATAACTTTAGCGTAGGATGGTAGAGTAAGGTAGTGTCGTAGTGTAGCTTAATATAACAGCTTAGCGTAGCGTCGCAGCAATTTAGGGATATGAAGCATCGTAGCGCCGTAGCATCATAGCAAGCGGTAGCGTAGTATAGTATAAAAACGCGTCGTAGCAGCGCTGCATAGGATAATGTTAATATTAAGGAACGCTTCTCCTGATTGTATTCTATCAAAACGTAGCATTAATCTAAACATTAGATGAATAAACAGATAGATAGATAGTCGTTGTGAATATGCGTTTCGTATGTTTTTTAGACATATTATTCTAACTATAAATGTGTAAACACGATAGATAATTACATAGAGTTTAGATTAAAGTATTTGCTCACGTGAACAATACGACTGACAGAAAGTTCATAAAGGTCAATGCGCACAATGGAAGAAATCACATCTCAGTACATGTAAAAACATCATAACTATTTTTTGTTTGAGAGTTCTAATGATTTAATGTGGATATTACCTATGTACCTATAATTTATACCTATTTACACACATGCGAAGTATATAGACATCCACATAATTATAATTTTGCACCCACTTTTCGCCAGTTATTTTTTAAGGTTCATGTTACACGAACCTTACCCAGGTCGTTACGAGGTTCGACATGAAGGACACGGTGAAGCATAGGTATGGTGGGGGTGTGCCTTGGTCGGGCTTAGCTCCGCTCCTAGTGACCTAAGGGAAGTGATCGGCGGCGCGGCGGCGACCTCTCACGCCCGGCCTTAGAGCTAAAGAAACTTGGAAGTTGTCTTTCTGCGAAGCAGTGATGCTCGCAAAGAAAGAGGTGGAGCGCGAAAGGGAGTTATCTTTCTCTCGCCCCAGCCGCCGCCCGCCGCCCGAGGGTGATAAAAATCATGACGATTGCCCCTTAATCAAGACAAGGGTTGACTTATAAATTGCATTAATATTTTTACCTACCCATCAAGTGCAAAAATATAAATTCTACGATACCAAGATCCTTCGTGGAAATACGGTAGTTTCCAGCTAGTCAAATTCAATACTTTTATCCAAATGTCCAAACCGATAGATACATTCATAGATACTTTTCTATGAAATACTGAGTTATGACGTCATAGTATTTTCGCGTCAAATAGCGTACTTATTTCTTAAAAATTAGCTAAAAAACATCGAAAATTTTAGTGTATCGATCAATCGGTGAATAAGGCTAAGAACTCACGGAGCGATTTTCGCCCGCGTCCGCTGCGGTTGCGGGCCCGCAGCTTCTGTAGAATTCAAATATTTATATAAAAAATTAAAGCACATTTCACGACGCGTTTTACGCCCGCTGTGTTCGCGGTTGTATGCGGCTCCCGCTGTACCGGCGGGCAACTAGTAGAATCGCGCGGGCCGCGGTTACCTGTAGCCTCGGCGGGTGGCACCCGCGCGCTTTGCGATCGGTTGGCGAGCGACCGCGGGGCCGGCGGGTCTTCTGTGAAGTAAATATAACCCAACGGCTCGTTTCTGGTGTGTGTCCATGGTGGTCTGGACCTCGACTGATCGTTAACCGCCCGTCTTGCAATCTTGCGATCGTCGCCCGCCACGTTTGCGGGCGATGATCGCAACCGCGGCGGCTGTGTAACCGCGCAAATAACCGGTCTCGTGAGTTTGGAAATAAAACCGCAGTTCCGCTACCGCAGCGGGCACGGTTCAAAATCGTTCCGTGAGTTCTTAGCCTAAAAGTATAGTAATTTTTCAAATTTTTTATTGTATTGAAATGTCGAATTAATTTATTTTTGACTTAGGAAATTACCCAATTGAAGCTCTATGTTCTAGACTCCAGGCTCAAAATTGCAACCGCACTAACAAACAACTAGGTAGACAATGACAATGTTTTTCAGAAATTGTTTAATGACGTGGTCAAAAATAAAAATAAAACATTTTTTAATGCAATATAATTCATATTAAAAAAATAATTGTACATTCATTCATTGATTTTGCGATATAGATACCTAAAATTGGTATTAGTGATTTAGTGATTGTACTAGTGACTTTTCAAGAAATTTCATGCTATTTGATGCAATAAAAATACAATTGACCAGTTATATATCAGGTACCTAATAGATAGCGATGGCAACCAATCGGTTCCGCCTTTGGACATCCGCAACACCGGATACTTACGAGTGCGTCCTCATCTTTTTTTATGGAATACGTCGGCATGCAAGCAGACGGATTGCCTGGTGGTAAGCAATCGGACAAACACAACGCTGTGGTGTTTTCACGCCGTTTATCTTAAGGCCGTGGTATCAATCCGGTGAAGCCGAAGCTTGGCTCTCCCAAACTTAAAATCAACCTTTTTGGTGAGAGGGATTTGATTGAGGATGATGAAGGATTGGACCTCCGGTATCTTAATACGACGGAATACAAAATATGCTTTCTTTAACGCTAGTTTTATAAAAGGCCCTGTTACTCTGGGTCAGACCCATTTATTGCAGAGTATGGCTCTGTCATAATTTAAAGGCTTATTTTAAAGTCAATGGTAATCAAGTCGTGGTAAAAACAATATTATATATAGGTAATACCTAACAAAGGTATTTAGTATCAGGTCATTGCCTCAGATTGACGTAAGAGATCTCGTATCATCTAAGACCCTAAACCATCAAGCCATCCTACCTGGAAACATGAGACAAATTAATTACAAAAAAATCGGTTCCTTTTGATATAAAGCATTTCAAATAAATTATGTGGTTTTTGTAACGAAAATTATATTTGAGAGCTGAAATCTAGACAGATAATGACATCTGAAATAATATAATAATGTAATTATTGTACTTTGGTTATGTATTTAGCTTATTTTATGTATGCTTCGAATACATAGAAAGCTGTTTTTTTAAAGTAACGTAACGTAACGTAAAAGATCATACGGATCTTATATACATTTTTATTTTATGTCATAGGACGGCAAACTAGGCGGATTACCTGATGGTAAGCAATCGGCGTCGCCCATGGACACCC